TTTCATTTTGCATACTACTGTAAGACAAGAAACTCCATGCCCCTTTCCATATACCTTGCCCTTGGTGCCTCCTCAGCTGGCTGGCTGCAGTGCCTTCTGCAGACTCCAGGACAGAATCTACTTGCCTGCTTCTTCTAGTTTCTAACAGCTGTTCACATATTGGTATTTTTTTATTTACCAACAGAAATCCTTGCAAAATTTGACTGAAGGTTAATGTGTATATCAGTCATGGTTCTAAAGTTTGGGGTAAGTTAAAAATAATTGATGGTTAGTACTAAACCTTAATCCTAGGAAGTACGCATCTGCCTTGTTGATAACGCATATTCCCAATAGGACATGGACAAGGCCACACAGAACCATTTTCCCCAGCAAGGCTACATCACAGCTGTACAGGTTGACTTCAACTCTTTTTCTAGGTGATGACATCAGGGCTCCAGCTGCTTTCTGAGCAGATGTTTCTAAACTACTGAATCGCTCTATTTTAGGACAGTATCCAGTCAAGAGCAGACCCCAATTTCTTTTATCTCACTTTAGAAACATGCAAGACCAACCTGTCTTCCACTGATGGTATTCAACAAAGAGTATGCATGGACCTATACAAGGGACTGTCATGCTGCCACAGTATATTCTACTTTCACATCAAAACAAAACTTCTTGTTAAGGCTGAATATGAAACATTTAACACTGGTTGTTGTTTGCTTTATTCCTTTTCCTAAAATGGAAAGCATGCTTGAGTGCACTTATTTTTCTTAAAAATGAAATTATGCATTACTCCAAATAAAAACCGTTAGTTATTACTCACTTTGTCAGTATAACTTATTTCATATTTACAAGTAAAGTGTATAAAAATTCTATATAAGGCCTCTAAAAAAACTGACTGATCTTCACTTTATCTTGTAATTTGTTCTGTGTTCTGCAGAGAAACAGAAGATGAAATATCAAGTTTGCTGCCTAATATAAATGGCTAGACATTTTTGTTAGTCTGTTCCCTAATGTTAATTTTTCCCTTCCCAAAGTAGCTCAAACAGCTCTCTCCTTAAAAATAATTGCCTTGTTTTCAGGCATAAAAGATGTCTCAAAAGCTAGCAAGTTATAGCAAGTAAACCTAGGTATTGGCAAATTTATATGTATACATAGATAATAACTTTTTCACAGAATTAAAAGCGTAACACTTTCATTCAGCAATTCCAAATTGCCTCATCTCAACTGGCACTTATCCTGTTTTATCTATGACACTATTCTCTAAATCTATACCCTCTATTATCCTGTTGTGTCTTCTACTTTGGGAAGTTTCCTATGCAATCCTATGATGCTTTCATTTCACGTCTAAGTCGAAGCAAAACACTCCTGTATTTTTGCAATGTCATTTTTAAAAAGAAATATCTAAAATTTCAGAGATGGGAAAGCCACGAAGACAAATAGTCTTTATTCAGTAAAATGCAGTAGAAATGTAAGAATAACACGGAAATGGCCACTGACTTCAAGCAGCTCAAGAGAAACCTACAAATGCTTTAAATACATTGTGTCAAAAACATGGAGCACAGAACTCATTCACTGCACAAATTATGCTTTCAACATTTGTGGTCATCTTTCCCCCATTCCTGAGCTCACAAGTCCAGTGACCAGTCTCATGTTAACAGCACTAAGAGAGTGGAGACTTCACCCAATTGTGGTGAGCTGGGTTGGGAAGTGTTTAAATTGGGTTGAGCTTCCATGAATGAACTTGGGTGAGTCCGTTAGCAGAAGAGAGACCACACAGAGACGCAAGTGCCACGTGCTCCTGGTCACTTGCCATGTGACGTCCTGTGACATCTCAGCACTCTATCACTCAGAATGCCATCAGTGGAGCCCAACCAGAGGGGCCCACCTGCTCTCAGACTGAGTTTACAGAAGCATGAGCCAGAATGGGTTAACTGCTGTATTGTTACAGTGACAAAAAGCTGACAATATAAACAGCCAAAGTTGAGAACTCACCTGGAGTGTTATCTCTTTACTAGTCTTAGAATTTTTAAAATTTTGATGTGTTTTCCTGTTTAGAATATTTGCTTTTCTGTATTTTTGCTCAACAGTGTAAAAAAAAAATACAGCCTATAACAAAATCAAAAATCTTATTCAATTTCACTCTCCAGTAGCTTCTGGGTCATCTAGTATCTTGGAATCACTGAATGCAGTAATAATAATAATTTTTAATAACCTACAGAAAAGAGGAAAAATACAATTGTTGTCTAGTGTACTTTCAGCAACAACAGTATTATTCTTCTGATTACTTCTGTGTCTATCAGGAGGCATCAAGTGAGCACAACCATCATGCAAAATGAACAAAGGATATCACTGTTTCAACGGAGGGTGGAGTGTGCTTGTGATTGTGTGGGTGTGTGCCCATGTGTGCTGATTTGCTAGATGCTATTTTGCAAAACTATACTTTGCACACTTGATCCTCCTTATCCGTGGGTTCCACATAAACGGGTTCAAACAACAATGCATCAAAAACTTTTGCCAAAATAAACACACCCCCACAACTGCATCTGTACTGAACTGCACAGATTTTGTTTCTTACTGTTGTTGCTTAATCATGCGGCCTAACAAATGTTAACTTTGTATTAGGTATAATAGAGATGACTTAAATGAGGTATACTGAGTTATATACGTGGTGACTTCTCTAGCTCCTTTTTGAATGAAGTTAATAGTACATGATGTATATTCAGGTTTATTGTTACAAGTCATGGAATCTCTGAGTTAAGTGGAACTTTGAAGTCCTTTTACTTCTAGGGTCTCTATCTGTTCCACTCAACTGAATCTGCCTTCACGCCAATACCGGGCTGCTATAATTACAATATAATGACTGTAGCTGTATAGTGTATTATACAGCCAGGTATGTGATGTCCCCCGTTTTGTTCTTTATCCTCTTCAAGACTGCTATTCATGATCTTTTATGATCCCATACAAATTTACACTTTTTAAAAAATTCCATCAGAACTATTTTTGGCATTTTGATAAGAATTACACTGATTGTATAAATGCTACACTGACAGTATGGACATCTTAAGGATACTGATTCAGTGCATGAATGCAGGCCGTCCTTTCCTCTTGTGTCTTCTTCAATTTCTTTCATTAATGTCCTACAGTTTTTATTGTACAGATTTGCTTTTACTTTCTCTTTTTAAACTTCTGTGGCTAGTGGATATAGGATGGCTTTCTTGATATCTTTTTCAGATAATGCACTATTGGTGCATAACACCACAACTGATTAAAAAAAAAGATTTATTGGGAAAGATATATCAAATTTATGGAGAGGAGACAGAAAGATTTTTCATCCACTGGTTCACTCCCCAAATGGTTGTACCTGTGGGAACTAAGTCATTCTGAAGCCAAGAGCCAGCAGATTCTTTCAGGTCTCACACATGGATGCAGGGTCCTAATGCTCCAGGCTATTCTGCTCTGCTTTACCAGGCCATAAGCAGGGAGCTGGATGAGGAGTGGAGCATCCGGATTGCAGACTGGCACCCACATGGGATCCTGGTGCATGAAAGGTGAGGATATAGCCATGCAGACCCCACAATTAATTTTTATATGTTGAGTTTGTATCCTGCAATTTTGTTGAAGTTATTTATTGGTCTTAATAGTTTTTTGTTGGAGTCTTTGGAAAGGTGAAAATGGGCATTTTTGTTTATTCCATATTTTAGAAAGTTTTCAGCTTTTCCTTGGGATATTAAGCTGATTTTTATATATAGCCTTTATTATGATAAGGTATGATCCTTTCACATTTAATTTGTTCAACAATTTCTTTTAATCAAGATAGGATGTTAGATTTAATTTTTTTTTCTGCAAGTATAGCAATGACCATAATCTGCACTTCATTCTGCTGATGTGATGTATCACATTTACTGATCTGTGTATCTGAGCACCACTGCAAATTCAGGATAAATGCCATTAGATCATAGTGAATAGGTATTATTTTTTTTAAATGTGCTGTTGAATTCAGCCTACCACTATTTTTGTTGAAGATTCTTTACCTGTATTTCTGAAGCCTACTAGCCTGTGATTTATATTTTTGACTGTGTCCTTACCTGATTTTGGTTTGCTATAAACTAATGCTGGTTTTAGAATGCATTTGAGAGAATTTTTTCTTATTCTATTTTTTTCCCCCAAAATAACTTAAAAAGAATCTATGTTGGTTCTGTAGATGTTTGGTAGAATTCAATGGTAAGCCATTTGATTCTAGACTTTTCTTTCATAAAAGACTTTAACATGAGTCAAGCCACTACTTATTACTGATATGTCTTAGCATGTTGGTACTTCATGATTTAATCTGGGGTAAGTTGTATTTGTTAAGGAATCTGCCCATTTATTCTGAGTTATCTCACATTGTTCTATAATTCAATAGCATTTCCCTTTCACCTATGATTTTAATTATTCAATTTATTGTTTTTTTTCCCTTAAATTCTTCAGTTAAGCTTGTCATTTCAAAAAATATTTCAAAGAACCAGCTCTTATGGTTTCTCTTTCATTAATTTCTTATGTGAACTTTATTATTTCTTCCCTTTTACGAATTTCAGGTTTGGACTGATCTCCATCCAGGTCTCTCATATGGGTAGTAGGAACCCAAAGACCTATTAGCTATTAGCTACTGGTTCACACACACATTAGCAGGATCCTGGTTCAGAAGCTCACACTGGGACTCAAATCAGAGCCCTCCAATATGAGATGTGGGTGTCCCAAGTGGTAGCTTCCCTTGCTGCACCACAATGCTGGCTCTTCTCTTTGCTTCCCTGAATGAAGAATTGGTTGCTCAGAACTTAGAACAGCTCATGCTGAATACATATTTTGGTGTGATGCATTTTCATTTTCATTCAAGATGCTTAAAAATTCCTTTCTTGATCTATTGATCACTCAGGAATAAGATCTGTATAGTTTCATATAGTTCCCAAAGTTTCCTCTATCATTGATTTCTAGCTTTCTTGTATTATTGCCAGAAAAGATACTATAATTTGCATTTTTTCAAACATTTGGACTTGCTTTGTGATCTAAATGGTGATCCATTCCTGAGAAGGATCCAATTGCTATGAAGAAGATTGGGTATCTGTTGGATAGCACATTCTCTAGCCATCTGTAAGGTACAATTGATCTCAAGTGCCATTTAACTCTATTTCTTTGTTAATTTTCTGTCTGGACGATCTGTCCAATTTGAAAGGGGAGTGTTAAAGTTGCATACTACAATTGTACTAAATATTTCACTTCCTATAATTCTGCTGATATTTATTGTATATATCTTAGTGATCTGTTATTGGGAGCATATATACAACGAATTTTTATTTCTACTTTCTGAATTGAACTGTTCATTATAATATAATGATTTTCTTGACTCTTTTTCTTGACTACTTTTGACTTAAACTTATACTTATACTTATCTGACACAAGTATAGCTACTCCTGCTTTCTTTTGGTTCCACTTGCATGAGATGTCTGACATCATCACTTTACTTTCAATCAATATGTGGTCTTAGAGGTTAGGTAAGTTTGCTGTAAGTAGCAAACAGTTGGATATTGCTTTATCTGTGCAGTCACTCCATGTCTTTTAACTGGTGAATTTAATCTATTCCCATTTAAGGTAATTATTGAGTCATTTAGATTCTTCTACTACCATCATTTAATTTTTTTTCTAGAATCACTGTATTTCCCTTCTTTCTCCCTGTCTTAAAATTTTCCTTTGTGGCTGATTTTCTTTACGAGTATGGTTTGATTCCTTGCTTGTCTTGGGTGTTTATAAATTTCTGTTTTGCAGTTACCAAGAGACTTACAAAAATATTTAAGTTATAACAAGCTATTTTGAGGTAACAGCAACTTGATAATGACTATAAAGATAGATAAATATAGAGCATCTAACAAATTTGTTCACCCTTGTGTAAAAGTCATGTTTATTTTCTTTGTATTGTTCTAATTTTTAGTTTATAGGCTGCCAAAATGAGTTCTGTGGTAGAAAACTATGTGTTAAGCAGGAATTTCTAAAATGAGACAGATTACACCACTGGTCTACACCTAAATTCCTAAACTGTGAGAAAACTGCAGAAACCAGGATGGGGTTTGAAGCAGGAAATAGCAAACAACAAATGTTTGGGGAACAAAGAGATTTTGCTAAATCAATGCATAACTGCAAAAAGTAAGGAAAAGAAGACAACTATGAGTCGAACAGCTGAACTGTTAAAAACAGATCAGGAAGGAGAAAAATTTCTTCAGTCATCAAAATTTTAAAATGCTATTAAATATTAAAGGAAAAAGTTAGTTTAAAATGACAAGATAAAATACAGCATTCATTATTATTCATTAAAAATACCATTCCAAGTGCCAGGAATGTATCAATAAATGAAACTGCTTAAAAAATTCTTGCTTTGCAGAGTTATCAAAATTCTAAAAGAACTTCAAAAAAAATGAGATTTAAAAAAAAGTCAGCAGCTTAGTTGTTAAAAGGGAAAACACACACAAGAAAAGAAAATTAGCTCCCTCACATACTATTGTGGGCTGAATAATAGTTCTGCAAAAGACATGGCACGAAGTTTGCAGAGTTATGTCAGCAACTAGACATTAATACAGGTTCCAAACAATACAGGAGTCAAGTAAATTCAATAAAAACCTTGAGAAATACAAGAATTTCATATGAAAGAGTTATAGTGGTAGACTAAAATTACTCCAGGTAATCAATCAACCTATGATAATGGGGTTCAAGCAAGCAGAAAAATGCAAATATAAAATGGATATAACTGACCTATTTTGATAGTGGTTGAGTCAAATACTGTCTTTGAAAGAGCCAATTAGCACTTTACCTAGCTGAATGGAAGAATATAACTAGAGGAGTGAAAAAGCGCTTCTCTTATGACTGGCACCATGGTACAGTGGGGCAAGTCATCACTTGATGCCAGTACTGGAGCACCAGCCTTAAATCCTGCTCTCTCCACGCTGGTCCCATTCCCTGCTAATGCACCTGGGAGGGCTGCTAGAAGACGGCCCTCACACTCGATCCCTGCCAACCATGTGGGCGTCCACAATGGAGTACTGGGCTCTTGGTTTCTTTCTGGCCCAGTCCTGGTCAAGCGTTAGACAATTACTGCTATACTCACAAATATGATATACTCCTAGGTATAAATAAATATCTTAAGAAAAAAATAAGTTTCTAAGTTTACTGACTTCGAATATTGAAAGAAATCCTTTTACTTCCCTACACTCTTTGACTCTGTCACTCCAATACAGTTGTAATTGGCCAAATTTTTCCATGTCTTAAGAACTCCTAATGTCTGAGGAATAGGCTCAGCAGTTAAATAAGTTCACTCAATGAAATCAAGATATATGAGTTATTAAACTACACAGTGAAAGATCTAAGTATGATATTTTAAATGACCATATGGACTTCATCATCTCAATTTAAAAATGTTTCCCAGGGAAATTAGTGGTCAAAATCAAAAGACTCTCACATTACAGCAATAAAAATATGGGTTCCTTAAAAAGCATAATTGGTTTTCATACCAATTAAATGTAAATCTCTTTAAAAAATTAGCATGTAAAGAAAAAAGAAAAAAAATTAGCAAGTCTTATAAGGAATGTATAAAGCAGCACTGATTTGCTCCAAATAACAACACGGAGGACATCATGGCTTCCTCATATCACACTGGTAGGCCAGCGGCAAGTTTACTGGCAAAGTGTGATGAGAAGAGCCTAGTAATACTTCTCAACACGTTTCAGGTGTTTAATTTAAAAGCAGAATGTAAAAAATAATTTTGTTTTTCAGGGAACACTGCTGGAAGGCAGCTGATTTGTACACTTAAGTCTTCTCACAGTCTGGGCAGTTTCCTAAGCCCCTCCCTCACCTGGCTCTCTGAGTAACCTTAACAGGACTTCTCTGCTTCCCAATTAAGTTCACAGAAAGTTTTTTTAAGTGTTCTTGTGTCGTGTGTGCTGCATCGTATGTGCATTCACTTCTCTTGCAGGGTTTTCTGTATATCCCTGCCTTTTTTTTTTTGATTTTTTAAAAAAGATTTATTTTATTTTTTTATTACAAAGTCAGATATACAGAGAGGGGGAGAGACAGAGAGGAAGACCTTCTGTCTGATGATTCACTCCCCAAGTGACTGCAACGGCCGGTGCTGCGCCAATCCGAAGCCAGGAACCAGGAACTTCTTCCAGGTCTCCCACACGGTGCAGGGTCCCAAGGCTTTGGGCCATCCTCAACTGCTTTCCCAGGCCACAAGCAGGGAGCTGGATGGGAAGTGGAGCTGCCGTTACTAGAACCGGTGCCCATATGGGATCCCGGCGCATTCAAGGTGAGGACTTTAGCCGCTAGGCTACGCCGCCGGGCCCGCCCTGCCTTATTTTTAATATCATAGAAAGTATGACACTCTCTTTCCAGCTCTGAAGAATTTTAATGCATTTAAAAATTTTTTCTACATTATATTTTCAATATTTCTAATATGAAACTGCCTTTGTTTTCACTGTCTGGTTGAATCATATTTAAAAATGTTATCCCAAATTTCATCTAATATTTCTCTGAAAATTATCACATAAAGATCTAAAATGAAAAATATTTAGACTAATATTTTCTATTTTCTTTTCTTTTAGAAATAAATTATATAAACTTACCATTCAATAATGTTAACTCTGACACTGGTACAATGGTATAACAAGGTAATCCTCCTCCTTGAATGCTGGCATCCCATATAAATGCTGGTTAAAGTCCTGACTGCTCTGCTTCCCACCCAGCTCCCTGGTTATGGCCTGGGAAGGCAGAAGAGGATGGCCCACATGGGAGATCCAGAAAAAGCTCCTGGCTCCTAACTTCAAATTAGCCTAGTTCCAGACACTGCAGCTCTTTGGGAAGGCAACTAGCAGAAAGTCTCTCTTCTCTTCTTTTACTCTCTTTAACATTGCCTTTCAAATAGAAATAAATACATGTTACAAATATATATATATGTGTGTATATATATATGTATGTAAACAGTAACTCATTTATTCCAGATTTAAAAAAAAACATAAACTATATGCACGCATAAAAATACATGAACAAGGCCATATAATCAAGGATGGTATATTTTCCAGAAGATTAGAGATTTTTAGGGTGTAAAACCTGTTATGATTCAAAGTATCACCCACAATATTTCAGCATAACGTGAGTAATTATGATTGACATGGGAACCATGAGGAAGGTAAAATCAGGGATAAGTACAAGGATCCAAGATTCTGCTGTGAAACTTTAGACCTTCAGGCTGATAAATGTTCCCTAAACTAAAAGCTAACATACTGAGAAGAGTGGGCATAAAATTACAGCCTTATGAGAAGGAAACAAATACAATCATAAACTTCTGATATGATGATGCTAAATATAAAGCTGGCTTAAATTTTGCTCCCATTCTTAATTGAGTTTCCTTTCTCTATTCCTCATAAGCCTTTATTTTTATAAATCATCATTAATATTTCCACTTCATATGTTTTGGTTTTCTCTCACAAAGAATTCAGTCAAGGGGTTATTTTATTTTCCCTTATTGGAGAAAAGGAAATGAGAAAGGAGATTTACTTTTCAGAGCCATGTTGCTCTTTGGGAGAATACTCCATGTCTGTGTTATTGCCACTGCATTCTAATAGTTTCCTAAAATCAAGATTCCTTTTTATGTCCCATCAAAAGCAATAAATCATATACTCTCAGTGCAATGGAGGGTAGTAGGTAAATAAAAAACAGATGTGAAGATAAGACCATGAATAGAGGGGAAACAGTTTTTTTTTCCTTTCGCTGACCTGGGATCCATTTCCAAACACTGAAGCCAAATACAAATAACTAGAATTAGAAAAAGCAAAACATTTTCTCCCACCAACAAACAACCTGAAGGAAAGAACGAAAAGCACAGAAACAAACACTGGGAACAGGGCACACTGCCCATCTTCAGATACAAAGGCAGAAGAATATAAACCAGAGATGCCCATGTGCTGAGAAGCCACAAATTAAAGGACAATCCATTTTGTTAAGGTGTACCTAGTCTTTGATTTCCTATCTGATCTCCTAAGTACGACTTCTTTTAAAAGAAATTCCCATCCATAAAAGAACACTCAGTCATTTCAGACAATCAACAATTTTCATTTTCATTCACAGAGTTGACCATGTGATTCAGTCTATTTCCATCTCTGTGTACAGGCATTATTCGTCAATTCAGAGGACTTCCCACGTCCACATCTTCACAAGTCTAGCATTCTAAAACTGCCAGGGGATGAGGATCAAAAGATTAACATAATTTGCACTGCTTGATCATTACCTCCTTAATTACCTTTATTCCAGACTAATTTCTCAGGCTTTATCTTTGAAGATATTTACTTTTTTTTTGGGGGGGGGAGTAAAATACAGGATAATGTTTTGTAGGATGTTGCTAAGTTTGGATTGGTCTAACATTTCATGTTGAAACTTATGCATCCCCAGCTAGAACACAACAAACAGATGAGGAAGGGTGTGTCCCTTTCTCAGGTATGAATTACACCTGCCAGCACACAAGGCTTATTGAATTCTCATCTGTAATGTCCATTTGATGACCCAATCAATGTACTGTCAAATTTCTCTAGTGTCTTCCAGGGATTAAGCTATCCATGGGTAGATATACTTAGAACCCTGCAAGTACCCTGCTGTTCATCAAAGCAGGCCTGGGAAATTTAGTATCCATTAATGACTCCTGCCTTGAGTACTCTTTACTATGATGTCTGTAAACGGTGCTTTCCTTCCTTTCTTCCTTCTTTTCCTCTTTTTTTTTTTAACAATATTTATTTTCAATGGAAAGGCAGATTTATGGAGAAAAGAAGAGAAAGATATTCCATCCATTGGTTCACTCCCAAAATGACTATAGTGGCTGGAGCTAAGCTGATTTGAAGTCTGGAGCTAGGAGCTTCTTCCCGGTTTCCCAGGTGGGTGTGGGGGTCCCAAGGCTTTGGACCATCCTTCCTGCTGTCCCAGGTTATAAGCAGGGAGCAGAATGGGAAGTGGAGCAGTGGGTATACAAATTAGTGCCCATGTGGGATGCTGGTGCTTGTAGGCAGAGGATTAGGCAGTTGAGCCATTGTGCCAGCTCCACAAATGGTGACTTTCTAGGTACACAGTCCATCTACATGGATTCATTGGCATTCCATAGTAACAAAGATTTATAGCCACTACTTGTTTCATTCATACACTCATATATGAATATACCTATTTTAATCAATGGTTATATTACTACCATTTTATTGTCCAACTGTCCCAGATTTGGATAATGGCAGTCACCTTAAGTTGGTTTCTGCATTCTGATATGTTTGTTTATTTTTGTTTCAATGCTTCCTTATTTTTTAGTATCACAAAATATCACCTGATTTCATATCTTCCTCGTTCTAACCCCTCCACTTAGACTTCCGGTACCTTTAAACAGGGTGAACAACATGCAGAAACCAAGATCCAGGGTATATGCTCGCATCACTGCTATTGTGGTCTCATTGTTTTCTAGCTTCTTTTTTCCCCAGCAGAGCTAGATGCTCCGCCTAAAAGATTATTTTAACATATACAACATCAGTCCAACTCCACAAACTTCTACTTTTTTTTCTGTTTCCTCATTTGTTTGTTGATTGTTCTATAGTAAGAGTCCTGGCTCCCAACATGTTCATTGCAATATACATATCACTGGTTCAAAATTACTATGGCACACAGAATTCCTATACTACACAACATAAAAACAGCAACCCAAAATGGGATGGGAGTTTAGTACAATGGCGTATGTTCCCACTTGGGACCCTGGTCACCATATCAGAATGCCTAGTTTGAGTCCTGGCTATTCTGCTTCTGATCCAGCCTCTTGCTCATGTGCAGCTGGGAAGAAAGCAGAGGATGATGGCTCAAGCACCTGCGTCCCTACCACCCACATGGGAGACTCTTGGCTTCTACCTGGCTCAGCTCTATCTACCCGGGACAACTGGGCAGTAAGCCAGTAGAAAGATGATTTCTGTCAATGGACCTTCCAAATAAGATGAAAATAACTAAGTAAAAATTAAAACAAAGCAAATTAAAATAAAAAACCCTCAATTATTTTTTAAAGTACTTGGATTAATTCTTCATTTATTTCAAAAGTTACTTGAAACAAAGTTCATTTGTTGATGTTGTTAACATTCGTAACTTACAGGCTTTTTTTTCTGATTGAATTTTTTATAAGATTTGTTTATTCATTTGTAAGCAGAGTTACAGAGAAAGAGACCTTCCACCTAGTGGTTCACACCCTAAATGGTCACAAATATAAGAAATGGGCCAGGCCAAAGTCAGGAGTCCAAAACTTCAATGTGGGTGACAGCAGCCCAAGTACTAAGATCAACTTCCCCTATTTGCCCAGGTGCATTAGCAGGGAGCTGGATCAGAACTGGAGAGGCTGGGGGCCAGTGTGGTAGCGTACCATGCTAATCCTCTCCCTGCGGTGCTAACAGTTCATATGGGCACTAGTTCATGTCTCAGTTGCTCCACTTTGGATCCAGCTCCAAGCTAATGGCTTGGGAAAACTGTGAAGGAAGGTCCCAGTGCTTGGGCCCCTGAATCCACATGAGACCTAGAAGAAGCTCCAGGCTACCAGCTTCAGATGTGTTCTGTTCCAGCCACAAAGGGCATTTGGGGAGTGAATCAGCTGATGAAAAACATTCTCTCGGCCTCCCCCCAACTCTGTAATTCTGACTTCCCAGTAAAATAAATAAATCTTAAAAAAGTAGTAGCAGCAAGACTGGAGCTCGAATCAGTGCTCACACAAGATGTTAGCATCGCAGGTGGAGGCTTTTAACAAACTGTTGTGTCACAACACCAGGCATTAATTTTTTTTAATAATGTAGTATATTAACATACTTCCAGATAGTACAATTATACCCATATGGTATAGCAAACACCTTAACTTTGCGGTACTCTTTTCCTGGAGCACTACCCCCTTTTAGGTAACCAATGGGAATGTTTTGTGATTTACCCTTTTTGTGTTCCATTTTAGAAAAGGAAAAAAGTATTGAGCGGTTAACTGAATGCTTCTGACTCTCCCAGCATTTCTCCCAGGCTGCAGCCAGGCTGAAGGCTAGGGTGACAAGCCCTCAGGGTTTATCTGGAGCCTAGGAATAGGTTTCCCAGTATTCCCATGTGCTTATTTCCAGGCCCTGGCGTTTCATTGGCTATCAGGAAGAGACTTTATGTCTCCCTGTAGGACAGCCTACAACACGGCAGTTTGCTTGCTCCACAGCAAGTGAGGCAAGACTGTGAGCAAGACAGAGACCAATACAAATGGTCATCTCAAAAGTGACACAGCATGCATTCTGTGCATGCTACCCATCACACAAAATAACCCGGGCACAAGGTGGGAGGCAAGTGCATAAACGTGTGAATACTAGACAGGAAGCAGGGGGACCAAGGAGCTTCTTGAAGGCTAGTGACTACACAAAGTCTCTTATGAAAAGGAATGCATTCATAAGTACTCCTTTCATACTTTCTCACTATGCTAAGAAGCAATCCAACAGTAGATCATGAAAGTGAAACACTCTATTATATTCAAATACCACAGGCTATCCAACCAATTTGCTATATTGGGGCCTGTAGGTAGGCACCAATATTTTATCACTACAAATAATAAAGAACATACTTCTTATATATTTTTACTGTAGAAAGTTATAAATTATTAGAAAAACATGGTCTGGGTAACCAGTGCATTGTATTCCTTTTGGGAAGATCATTAACATGTTTTTTGGGTGGCAATTTAAATTTTTTTTGGCAATTTAAAATTCTGAATTTAATTTTCTGAAAGGCTCCATAGAGCATTTTTTGTTTCTAAGTTTTTAACAATTTTGCCTAATTTCATTTTTAATTGGAAAGGCAGAGACAGAGCTTTTCCTTCCACTACCTCAGTCTCCCCCAAGGCCCACAACACCTGGGGCAGGGCCAAGCCAAAGCCAGGAGGCAGGCACTCCATCCAGGTCCCCCTGGTGGGTGGCATGAACTCAAGTGCTTGAGCTGGAAGGGTGGATTAGCTAAAAGCTGGATCAGAAGCAGAGCCAGGACTGGAAGCAGGCACTCTAGTATGGGATGCAGGAATTCCACGTGGTGTCTCAAACACTGCATCCCGTGCCTGCCCCTATCCCACATTTCTTATAAGTGGTAATGTACTAGGATTCATAATTACTAGAATTAAAACAGCTTTAAATTTTTTTTTTATTAAGAAAACAACATCTCAGGGGATACAAGCTCACCTGTAGAAAGAGTGGTAAAACAACTAGGTAGAGGTCAAAAAATTTCAGTGCTCATGAGGAGGTTCAAAAAAAATCCAAAGATGTTTGAAAAAACGGAATACTTCTGCATTGATGAAAAAGATCACAGGTCAAGAAGTATCTTCATAAAACAGTTGGAAAATGAACTGCACAATAAATGGCACTAAGGTAAGTCCCAAAGTGTGATGACTGCATTACTATCAAATGAGTGAACATACCATGTTTTAGGGAGACACATGCTAAAGTACTGAGGCATGAACCTCCACAATGTCTTCAAGTAACTCTCAAATGGTTTAGGGATAAAAGTGAAAGAAATACACTTGGAGAGAAAACGGTAGAAAACAATCCTGGAAAGCGTTAGCAAGGGCCAAATCTATGGGAAGAGCACATAGGTATTCATGCTGCTGCTGGTTTTTATACTTTCTTGTAAGTTGATTATTTTTCAAAATAAAAATAATAAAAACTTGTGAAAAGCAGCAGAGAAGCTTGATATCAGCAATAACATACAACACATGCAATTCTGATTGCTCAAGTGCATTGCCTGATGGCTTAAAAGGCAATTTCGAAGCAAAAAAATACTGGGATTTGAATTATACCATGTACTTAGTTAAAGAAAAAACACCATATTTGAATAATACAAGGTCTGGTATATAGTTATGAAAGCTTTGATTATAAGTTTCAGGTACGACTAAGTTTTCTGAGGACACAAAAATATCAAATAAAACTCCATTATTATCTAGTCAAACCTTGTGTAAGAATTCAACATAGAATCTGATTACATTTGCAGATACAAGTAACATTAATCTTCCCTTTAAAGGTTTGTCAACACATGCATCAAGGCCATTTCATGAAAAATATATCTTCATTCTAAAGCTGGATTCATGTTGAAAGTTCTTAAAAACTGGGCACTCTTTCAAGAAAAAGATTTTCTTGAAAGAACCCTTGTATAAAATTGTGAAATATCGTTTTAAAATTTTCAGGGTCTATCAACAGCATTGGGCAATCAATAAGCATCAAGTGAATACAAAGTTTCACAATTTATTTTTGTTTTCAGACTGAACTCCATCTGTGTCTCCCATGTGGCAGTACTTAGCCATCATCTGCTGCTGTGCTGGCACATGAGTTGGAATGGCATCAGAAGCGGAGTAGCTAGGACTTGAAATGTCACTGATACAAATGCAGAGTCCCAACCCACAGTTAAACCTGCTATGACACAATGCCTGTCCCACAGTAGCTTCCTTGGTATTTACTTCATTCATCTAGGAAACAAAAGCCTAATGACAATATTGAATATAGTCAGTACAACATGATCTTCTGCATTTTCCCTTGTTAACAAATGTGATTAACAGTAGCATAAAATGGACCAAACATTACATACTTTATGGCAGGAAAGTTTTATATACCACGGATTTATATATAACAGGCACATCCTAACTCCTTCTTAAAATAAGAGGAATTTAGTTTTGTATTAAGTGAGCTAACTGAAGAATACATTGTTAGCTTATTTAACAGCAGCTGTTAAGTAGAAGCTGCAGACTGGGGCATGACAGAACAATACAGAATTATCAAAAATCAAACAAAATGTCAGATCACATGACTTATGAAAGCACCTTTCCAATCTTCTTATCAACTTTAGCTTATAGTTACTTGCAAATGTGGTGAAACACAGCACAGTGACTAGCATAATGTAAATGCTCAAGAAATGTGGCCAGGATTACACAGGAAATTTGGACAGCAACTAGCACTGCCACTGAAAAATAACAGGAACTATACATACACATACATTCTCTTTGAGCTTCTTAGCCACTACCCTGCTCACCCTGTTTAGATTTGTGAATGGTGCTAGTGATGCCTGCTCCTCTGTAGAGCAGAAAACGGACTGAGAATACTGCTGTGCCTCCCAGGCTCATCAATTACTCTTGCTTCCTGTCCCAAAGCTTCATTAAATTGCTCCCTAAGCAAATGGGGAATAATCTGGTTAGCCTCGTCCCACCAGCTAGCACATGTTCCTCACTGACAAGTGCTGCAATTGCATGCTGGAAGGTGTTAAATGCAGTTCCAAGGACACTTCTGCCCGGAAATACCAGGCATAAAAGTAAACATCTGTTCGAAGACTTCTGTTTTTAACTCAATTTAGATCCCTTGCATCATATCCTGCTCTGATTTCCTCACCCTCATGAATGAATAAAATTAAGACAGGCTCCCTGGCAGTATACTGCAAAGCTGGAAAATAGCAGAAAAAAGGCCAGTATCTCTGAAATATCCACTAGTAAATCCTTCAATGTTAAGCTAGTTAACTATGTGTCTACTTGATCCTAAATTACTTCATAATGTCACATTTAATAACACCTCCTATATTTTAATAAAGATTCCATGCCATTTGTTCAGTAACATGTTAAAGCTTCAGAAAAACAGGTCTTCTACATTAAGACAAACAAACTAGGAAAATACGTGTTGTTCAAGGGCTGAGCCAAAGAATAAATGGAATTAATAAATAACACAAAAAACAATGGACATGCAGAATATCAGCTTCTACCCATTATCAACTGATAGCAT